CGCTGCCATCGTCGCCCAGTAAGGCCATTCTCACGTCAACAAAGAAAGACGACCCAACCTGTCCAGAGGATTAACAAGTCAGTGAACGAAAGTGTGGTGCGGTCAACACCAGTAGTTACTGCTCTCTCTCTCTCTCTCTCTCTCTCTCTCTGGTGACACCGTTTTTCTCGATATAGCCTAGGGCTACTCAAGGCCGGCCCATCCCGATCCATTCTGGTCCGGTCTTACTGGGACGGGACAGATCCATTCTAAAATTTTTCGAGACGGGATCGTCCTATCCCAGTCCTTTTTTTTTTTTTATCCTATTTATATAATATTATTTTTTCATATTTTTTTAGATTTGAGAATATTATATGGAACTATGGATATATTTATTTAGAATTTTTATATTTGTTAATGATTTGAAATTATTGATGATTAGAATTTTTAGCAAATTTTTATTGTGTTAAAAGCTTTTGTTTAAAGTTTTTAATGATTATTATATGTAATATTTTGAACTTTTGTTTAAGAGTGTCCAAAAAAATAAAAAATAAAATAAAAAGATGTTTTTATAAAGTTTAAACCCAAAAAAATATAGTTAAAAAATCAGATTTTTTTTTTAAAAAATTAAAAAAAAACTTCGGGACGTCCTGGATCCGTCCCGTCCCGACTGGGACCAGGACAACCCCAGGACAAACCAGGACACGAGACAGATTTTCTGTCCCGTTACTGTTCACCGGGACTGGTATGTCCCGGTCCTGATCCGTCTCGTGAACAGCCCTAAATTAAAGTTGGTGTGCATTGATATTTGGGACAATGACAAAAAAAATAAAATTTTATAAATACTAAATAAAGAATGTCAACAAAAACTTGTTATTATTTGTAAATTTAGACTTGTCAACACCAGATAAAATTGTATTACCAAACCTGATTTGAGATTTATAATTTCTAACTTTTTTTTGTCATTCTCCCTTGATATTTCACAAAAATAAAAAAATTAAATTTTATTAACCTAGAACCAAAAAAAAAGAGAGATCTTATTAACTGTTTACTTTTCAGGTTTATTTCTATTTAATATATGTTATTTAAACAAAATAAATACTAGTGTACAGTCTGCACAATGATAAAATCAGAATACAATAATAAGTTCATGCAAGAAATTTAATAACATAACTTGTAAATAAAATTAAAAAAAAAAACATTACCCTCACTTGTAATTTGCAAATAGAATTGGAGGAGTGATGCTATTGTAACTTATTCGTTGAGAGATCATTTTTCTACTAATTAATATTGGCATCCCGTTCCCATTGCCTTACACAGTTTCACTTGTATGTTGAAGAAGAGAATTATTTATCACTCATCACTAATTTAATTTATTTAATATACTCCACGGTCCCTAGTATAAAAGTGAATTAGGAGTTAGATTTAATTTTAAATATAAGATCTTAATTCACTTTATTTATTATATTTATCATTTTTCAGCAAACTAATTTATTTAACTTATAAATTGATATATAATCTAATATTATCCATAGGTATTTTAAAAAGATCACGCCGTACTTGTTATAATTAACTAGTATATTTAATTTTTATAATTTATTCAAATTATTACTTCCAATCATTAATATAATATCTCATTTATAATTTAAAATAGACCTGTTACGGATCAAAGATGGTAGTTAAATAGCTGAGTAAAGAGAGAATAGATATCAATTCCATTAACGATTAGTGTTTTTGGACCAATAACAGTGAATTATTTGAATCAAGAATCAGTGATGGTTGAGGATTCTGTCATGAAAATGTTGGAAAATTGAGTTGGTCCCCTTGCCTATGCTAGTTTATATGTGGACTATTGCAACGGATTTGGTTCAACTGTGATTTGCTTTGCTGTGGAGGTTCTGTTAGGCTTTCAAAAAGTTTACTCGTTTTTAAGGCTATCGCTCCCTTCAGCCCTTATTTGAGTGGTTGATTCTATTTGAACAATTGTTAATAAAATAATTATAGAAAAATTGTAAATAAGGACCCTAATATGTAAAATTACGATTTGATACCCTGAATTTGAAAAATAAGAAATAAGGACTGGATCCTACTTTTGCAAGTATGAAATATGGATGAAATGTCTGAAATCCCCCTCAACCAAATTGTGATCTGGTCTACTGAAGTTGTCATTCGCTAAAGTGAATTTGTCATTTCCTATAGTCAACTCGTCATTTGACATACTCTCACCCAAACTGTGATTTCGTCTACTAAAGTTATCATTCGCTAAAGTGAACTTGTCATTTCTCATAATCAACTTGTCATTTAGCTGAGAGCATTCCAAAAATTTCACCATGATTTTATATTTGCAAAAGTAAAATCGGGTCATTCTTTGTTATTTTTCAAATTGAGAGTTTCAAATCACAATTTTATATATTGGGGTCTTTATTTGTAGTTTTTTCTAAAATTATTCGATTGAAATTTATCTTTTTAGAATTAGTTATGAATTAGCTATAAAGAAATTAATTTTGATAGGAAGGTTGTTAATAGAGTTTTATTTTCATACAAGTAATTGATAAACTTCTAAACAATAGTTGTCAATTTGCTATATTAAAACTGACAATTATTATCATGTGGTTGTTAAATAAACAATTCTTCTAATGACTGGGTAATTACAAGTCACAGCTTCAGTATACAAAATTCACAATTACAACATTCAAAATTTGATCCAATAATTTGGATGATGAGTGAAGAGGAAGTAGATAAGAAAAGAAATAGAAAGAGAACCAAGTCCTTGACTGTAAGTTCTTGGATTTTTCAAAGAAGATATTAGGCATAATTGAGAGAGCACTTAGAAGCATTTTTAAACACCTTTTATGTAAACTTTTTACACATACATATCTCATATTTCATAAATCACAGTTAAAAAATAATTTATAAACTATTCTAAATAGATCCGGTATATACTTTAGACGAATCACAAAATATACGTGTGTAGTTTTTTTTATACTGAAAGAAATATTGTTCGTTTGGTAGGATTCAAAGGTATGGATGAGGGCATTCTCTTCTGGTTTAGGTTCAACAATGAACCGTTGATTGTTTGATTTTTGGCGCGAGGTTTGCGGGTGGTGTTTCCCACAGTGGGGACCTCATTCACCTCCCTTCAACCCCACAAACATGTATCCAACTCAATTACCTAAAAACAAACAGCCTCCTAACTCACTATACACTGACACTGCAATGCAGAACCATGCATCTGCATTTATCATTGACCAACACGTTTATTTGTGATTCCATCAACTGTCAAAATCTCTTATTTTGACGTATTTTAAAGCCACCAATCTCTTGTACAGCCAGGAAACCCCCCCCCCCCCCAAAAAAAAAGCCTTTTCTTATGCGCATTTTAAGCCAGGAATCTCTTGTACAGCAGAGACGGGCTTTAAAATGAATTAAAAAGAGTAGGACTTTGGTTGTACATTTCAGAGCCATTTTTTTCTTTCTGCAGTGAATTAGAGGTACAGTACAAGGAACCTTTGCCTGTTCTTCCTCTATCTTCTCAAAGCTTTTATAATTATTAACACGTGGAGGGAGCCCAGCTTCAGAGTGTACAACATGATGTTGCTGGGCAACACTACAAACACAAAAGGGTTGATGATTATGTTAACAAATCCAGGCAGCGGTGTCTGAAATTGAAACACCACTTCCACAGTAAAGATCATCTTAGGACTTTTGGTTAATGAATGAGTAGTAACATTTCCTCCTTATCTTCTTTGTCTCTTTGCTTCAATTAATAAAAACAAATCCTCTTTCGATCTTCTTGCCGTCATGCTTGGGTCTCTTGCTGCATGCGCTCATTATTCTATAAACATCATCAGCCATGTTCCACCATGCTTGTTGAAGCAGGCGTATCGTGAATTTTCTACTCCATAATTGCATTTTTTTTTTCCAGTCTCAAGTAATAATATCCCAAAGCTCCATAAACTAGAACGAATAATGCCATGGGATTCGCAAAAATAATAATAAAACCATTTCAAGCAGCAAACTTGCAATATTATTAAGCTGACCAAAGTTTTAAAATTATAATTAAAACTCCCTACAATACGGGGAACAAAACAAACTTAGTTTACGTTGTTTCGGCCGCCCCAAATCACTAAACCCACCGTCTGTAGCTTGTTACGCTTCGCGCGTTAGTTGCGGCAAAAGTGACGATCTCTTAAACTAAGGGTGTGTTTGGATGAAACCAAACCGTGGTTTGAAAAAGTGATTCTGGAGAATAGATTCTGGAAAAAATAGATTCTGTGAAGAATAGATTTTGTAAAAAAGTGTTCTGAGAAGTGAGAGTGTTTGGATAGTTGTTATCAGAAGTACTTTTTATATATACAATTACTAAAAAAAGACATAAGTTAATATGATAATTACAGAAAAAATAGATTTTATAATATATTTTAATTTGAAGAAATAAAATTGTTAATAATATGTTTTTTACCAACATAATTAATAATACATAAGATAATATAATTAATAAATAATTAATGTCTATATATATTTATAAAATATAAGATTAAATATATTTATAAAAAAATATGTTTATAAAAAATAACAAGATACATATCATATAGGCCCTCACACTCTCCCTTTTTTCTCCAAAAACAAAAAAAATTTGCTTTTTCCAAAACCATGGTTTTGACCCAAAACCATGGTTTTGGTTTTTGGAGAGGCTGTTTGGGTAACATTTTCCCCAAACCATGGTTTGGGGTGCTATCCAAACAGAGCCTAAGTAAAGGCAAACATTTTATTATCATCAGCACTAGCACATGTTCATGTTTTGGTCCCAAGGAAAATAAAATGATAATAAAGGAGTTGCAGATTGTGAAACCAAACAAACATCATCAAGACACCAAAACAATAAACAGAGAATAAATTAAATAAATGGATGAAGGAAGCGGTAAAGTTAAAAAAAGGGAAGTCAGAAACGAAGTGAGGAGGCGTTATAAATATAGCAAACTAGCAAAGCATTAGAAGAAGTTAGGGGAGGTCCTGGTTTTGGCCTTGTCCCAAGAATAACCACCGCTCGAACATAATCCTATTTTTAAAGCCTTCTCGTCCCTTATCCATTACGAGTTCTCTCATCTGACTCTCTCTGTCTGTCCGTCTGTGTCTCTCAGACCGTCACCAATTTCAGAGAAGGCATCATTCAATTATCATATTGGTGATCGGTGATCCTTCTTGAAAATTGCAGGTCTGGGCACCACTTATTTTAACTTCGCAGGAATTCAGGATCCATAGCACTGTTTAAGGTTAGCTTGTTTTCCCCTGCTGCGATCTCCTACTTTCTGAGTGACTCTGTTTTGGAATCAAAACAATAAATGGATATCGATTTCAGTTGCTCTGTATTTGTTCGCTAGGTACCTTAGATGAACATATATGTTTTATGCAGATAATGTCCAAAATAATTAATTGAGGTTGTCTTACAAAACTATAAAGAAAATTCCGAAATGCAAAATGTCAACATTGTTCATGTCTCTTCTTCCTCTGTTTCACCTGTTTCTGTTCTAGAAAATGCTCTCACTTCCTCACATGCTCAGTTGTTTATGTAGATGTCCCTTGATGAAGTTCATAGCTTGAATATCTCTTTCCTGTTTTCCCTGATGTTTCATTTGGTTTTTAATAAAAGAACCCGACTTTACATTGTCTCGTATTTCTTTGTTTGTAGTCTATATGCTATATCAATCTATAGATTTAGATTGGAATTTATTCTTAGTCACTGGTCGTTTCTCATGTTGGTTCTTTTATAGGTCATTTTAGAGTACGCTATTCAAAAGCATTGGAGGCGTTTTTGTAAGACCAAACCAGAAAATCTTCAAATGAAAAGACAAGCATTGTCATAACCTCTTCCTGTTTCGCTGATCGGAGTGGGAAGAGATTGGCTGTGTAATTAGAGAGAGAGAGGAGGCGGAGAGAGAGAATGGAGTCAAGAGGGAAAGGAGGAAGAGGAGAGGCGTGCGAGGAGGAGGAATCTCCGAGAGGCGTGCTGGAGATGATGGGGGAGGCAGATCGGGGGAGCAGCGGATGCAGCACGTGCTCGGGGGAGAAGGCAACGGGGACGGGGACGGGGGCGGGGGCGGGGGCGGAGAGGCCGCCGTCGGGGAGGGAGGGGCAGATGCCGCAGTGGAAGGGAGTGATGGACGCGTTGAGGATAAACTCAGTGAAGAGGCTGTCGGCGATACCGTTGTTCGCGTCGACGTACATGATATCTCGCAAGAGCCTCAGGAAGTTGGCGCGCATCAGAAGCGCAGAAGACGCCATAGATCTTGTTTCTTTGGCCACCAAATCCTCCTGGAAAACCTTCCATTACTCCGACCTTGCCGCTGCCACCGACGATTTCAGTCCTGGTATCACCTCCTCCTTTATTCCCCTCCCAACTCCCTGGGATATTTTTGACATCACGACTTTAACTTATTAATTTTTTATTTTAACAAATTAGTTTTTTTTTTTCCAAAACATTAATTTATTATGCAAAAAGTTACAAACTTTATAATTTTCCCACCCTGGGAAATAAGCTGCGTGTGAATTTAAGCTGATAAGGAAGATTATTATCATGCATGGAACCCTCCAGGCCGAAAAGGGAACTCGAGCTTCAATTCTGCGGAACCCTCATCACATACGAACCCAATTTTTTGGTTTAAGTGATTTTAACATGTGGTGGGTAAATATATAAAAAGAAATTGAATGCCTCAATTGTACGGAACTAAGAAGATGGTTGGTTTGGACAGAGAACTTGATCGGGAAAGGCGGGCATGCGGAGGTGTACAAAGGACGCTTACCAGACGGGCAAATTGTGGCAGTAAAGAAGCTTGTGAACGAGGAAAAAGATGACGCAGATAACACTGGTGATTTCTTGACGGAGCTTGGAATCATCGCCCACATCAGCCATCCTAATGCTTGCCAATTGATTGGCTTCGGCATCGACAAGGGCCTCTTCTTTGTCCTTCACTATGCCGCTCATGGCAGCCTTTCCTCACTTCTCTTCGGTGCTTCTCTCTTCTCTCCTCTTCACAAAACCCACTCTTTTCACAATACATATTTATGTGTATATATTCTTTGCCATCCTCGTTTCAGGTTCCAAAAAGCTGGAGTGGAATGTTAGGTTCAAGGTAGCCATTGGAATTGCAGAGGGACTGCAGTATCTCCATCATGAATGCCCAAGACGAATCATTCACAGAGACATCAAGGCTTCCAACATTTTGCTTAATGAAAACTACGAACCTGAGGTACTTCTCTGTGGTTGCGTAGATCCTAACTACATTGTATTATGATTTGTCAACTTGTTATGAACATACATACTCAGCTTTCTTTTGTGTTATGAGCTGCAGATTTCAGATTTTGGATTGGCAAAGTGGCTCCCGGAGAAGTGGGACCACCATGTCGTGTTCCCCATAGAAGGCACATTTGGGTCAGTAATAATTCCAGCTTTATTTCATTTGGCGTTTCTTTTTAAGCACGTATCAATTCCTTTTTTCTAATGCGATGCAACTACACAGGTATCTAGCTCCAGAATATTTCATGCATGGACTCGTGGATGAAAAGACCGATGTGTTCGCTTATGGGGTTTTGTTACTGGAGATCATCACAGGTCGTATGGCTGTTGATTCTGACAGTAGGCAAAGTCTTGTGATTTGGGTAAGACATGACAACTTCAAATTCAAACAAAACTACGCTTAACTGCGTAGATTAAGACGAGACTGTGGTTGATGTTAGATGGTATTGAACTTGTGTTTTGTCGGTGTGTTGAAGGCAAGGACTCTACTGGATGCGAAAAACATGAAGGAATTAGCAGACCCTAGATTAGAAGATGATTACGATCCTATAGAAATGGAGCGTGCCATGGTTACTGCTTCCATGTGCGTACACCACTCAGCCGCCAAGCGTCCCCTCATGAATCGGGTAATTAAAACAAAGTTTATAAGCTTTTGTGTTTCACCACAGCCAAAACAACGCGAAAAGCTGACATGAAGGTTTGGAAAATTACAGGTAGTGCAGATGCTGAAGGGGGAGGAAGGACCCATTGAAGTAAAGCCACAAAAATCCTTGGCCCCAAGATCCCTCATGTTGGATGCCTGTGATCTTGAAGATTATACTTGCTCCAATTACTTGAATGATCTCAATCGTCACAGGCAACTAATCATGGAGTGATATATCCATTGACGCTTCTTGTTTTTGAGCTCATAATTTACTGCCCCACGGAGGCTTAAGCTGTACAATTTCCCTTTCTGGTCAGTGCAAAGTCACACAAGCTTGTATCTTTCTCAAAACTCGCAAAGTTGAGCAGTTGCCAAGTCTGGCAAAACTGAAGTCTGTAGACGCAGCAACAAACTAGGGTGACGCTTCAGCTCGAATAGTTGTTCCACAGGTAGAGTCTTCAGATTTGCGATATCACAGTTGTTCAACTTTTGAAAAGCATCAGATCGAAGGACCGGTCCCCCACCTCCTGTAATATTGTTATAGTTTGCTTCATGTATTAGGCTCAGGCCTCTCCTTTTACCCACCAAGATGAAGCAGTATAGCGGACTGCATTGAGGCCCTCTCAGGCCGAAATGCATTGTATAAATCTTTACATAAACAAGCATTTCTTCCTTTTTTCAATTTTTCTTTTTAACTCAGCAGTGCTATTTCAGACGTTTTCTACCTCTTGCCATCTTTTATACCCCGGCCTAAATCATCTGAGAAAGCTTTGCACAAGGGACAATTAAGGCCAAGGCTCAATCCAGACTTAATCGAAGCTCGCAATGGACTAGGCCCATATAATATCCGTGTTAAGAGGGGATGTTGTTTCATAGAATTGGATCTGCATGTTAAGCAAATGTTATGTAAATATATAAAAATATTATAAGGAGATCATACCACAAGCATCAGCGAGTTAAGCATTCATGAGTACTTGTGCAACACTACAACTCAATTTTTCCCATCTTGGAGAAGTTACTTTACATAATCCAGCTTCCTACAGTAACTAAAACTCCTAGCCTTTTCAGGGGAAACACAAAAACCTCCTAACCTTTCTTTCTTCCAAGTAAAAAGATGAATTAGAGGGGGTCAGCTGAATTGTGCGAGAGACTATTATAGCTTTTGCTTTGTTAACAGAAAGCAGAAAATTAGCTGGAGATAAGATGACCACTCCTTGATAACAAGTCAGTATGACTGATGAGGAGGCCATATAAAGAACTCAGAAGGTGCAGGCAGGGCAGTAGGATAAGGAGTTACAGAAGGATTAGATACAGCAGATTCTGCAGCCCCGGCGTCAGAAGGGTGAAAATCGTTCAAGAGGTTGTGGTGATAGTATGCAGTAGCAGGATAAAATGGGATTGCACTAGGGACAGAGGAAACTGCCTGGATTGGTGAGAAGTTGATGCTGTTACTCATGTTGGTGCATTGGATTTGCTGGCTATTATTGTTCAGAGTCGCTTTCTGCTCGGATTCGAGCGAAAGCTTCAAGCGTTTCGCTGCCCCGCCAATGGGAAGAGAACTATTCATGATGGCCTCAACGTCATATCTACTCATCTCAAAGTTGGTCACAGCATTTGCACCCCTAAACTTTATGGCTGCAATATCATATGCCTCTGCCGCTTCCTCTTCAGTGGCTGTCATCAATGCGTAACAGATGATTAGGAACAGAACATCACACTCTAAACATTACTTTGTTGTTATAGCAGACAGCAGAAGCTGAAACTTTACCAAATGTTCCAAGGTACAGATCCTTGTTCCCTGCAACACGGCCAATCCTAGCTTGCCATCTACCTTGTTGGTGATGCCTACAGGATCAAAGGATGCCCCGTGTTAGTTTCAAAGGGGATACTAAACTCAATAGCAGAAACTGGGAAGCAACAGTAATTAATTGGATTGTTCATGTTTAAAATTCAAACCTCGTCACGCCCCTGTATATAGACGCTCCCCTAGAAAACCCGCTACTTTTTCTGCAAGAAAGTGAAACAGCAATTTTAACTCTCTGCACTAAAGGGCAAGTTTCTAATAGTTTAATAGGTTAACCCAGGCGAACCTTCGCAGTGAGGCAATAAACTCTTGCTTTGTTACATGCTTCATCTCCTCCATCTCCTTTGCATAACTGGAAACCTGGAAATATAGAGGCGAATTAGCTAAGCTATGCAAAATAAAAGCTTTCATTGTATAGAAGTAAAACTTATGACACACTAAAATGAACAATATGATACACATAGTTAGGCCAACGTATGAATCTAAAATTAGTTCGAAGAAATCTGTCATTATTGTAGATCTACGTAGGATTTCATGCACTCGCGTAGCTATCATAAGTCAGAACAGAATATTGGGAGATTCATACAGGGAAGTTGGTGGTAGCAGTGGGGCCCCAGTACTTTAGAGCTGCCAAATCATAAGCTCTCGCGGCCTTGTCTTCTTTGTCATATCCACCTGAATCACACCCAAAAAAAAAAAACAAATTAGAAAAAAAATTCGTAACAGAAATAGATTTAAAAGCAGTGTGGAATCAAAATGACTGCCAAACATTTCTTACCCAAATACACTGTAGGAAGAGTCAAAAAGACGAGTGACAGCAGGAAATGCACCGAGCCACGTTACATGAAAAAGGAAAAGCCAAAGAATATTTGATATGAGATGAAGGAATGGTCAAAATTTTCTGCCAAAAATTTACTTTATGCAATCTAAAAACACAAATGGCTAAAAAGAAAAGTCATATGCATGCAAACGCAAAAATGGTGCATGCGCAGAAGTAACTTTCTTTTCCCTTCCTTTCTTTTCTTTTCCTTTCTCTCTATTTTCCACCTTTTTTAGCTACAGAAAGCGTAAACCACTGTACAAGTCGAGACCAGTGTACTTCACGCTCTCTTCTTAACGCAACAAGACAAATTAATAATTCCTCTACCCAACTGCACTAATTTCCCATTCAATTCGCATCCGAAAGGGCAAAAAAAAAAAAATCCATTAAATTCAACAACACTAATTAATTAACTCCCAATAATTGATCCCACCTTTCGGATTTCGGAGGCGAGGCTTGACTTATTTTCAAGACATTAAAGTAACAACATTAAAAATTACAAACAATAAACAATTAAGATCATCTTACTTGATCACATAGTCAAAGACATGCCACGTCCGCATAAAATCGGCAGAAAAAAAGAACCGCCGAATTGCCAACACACATAACGCTTCATTTATTTATTTCCAATAAGAAAAGGGAGGGATTTTCCAATACTTTTAAAATGTCGTTAGCCAGTGGCAAACAAGATCTAAGAAATCCCGTGAGCATGTCGCAGAATCAATAGGACACTAATCAGAAGGGAGAGGACAGAGAGCCCACTTTGAAACAAGTTTTCACTCAACAGTGAACACACCATCCCTTGTTGTAAGTACACTATTCAATATTGGGTGGCGTGGTCAAACCCAGCCTTTAACTGGCCAATGAGAAAGCAAAAGCAAAAGTTAAAGCTCAACTCAGCAGAAATATCTATTACCCAAACAGTGTTTTAACTCTAACGTGCCTGTACGGCTGATGTGAGAGAGAGAGAGAGAGATTAGTGTTCAAAGCCGGAGAACGCCAACCCACATATAGGCAAAATGGCGGCACATCGGATCAAATCAATCGCTTGAATGAAAATATTTGCAGGACAGCGAAATAAGTAGTACCATCACTCTAGTACGTGTATATACCATCAGTGTCAATCATAAAAGACTGATGAGAAAGAAACCCAGGTGTCCTACTATTACATATTCTCAATCCCCGACCCATTTTCATTTAATATACCCTTTCACTTCAATGCATGCAAAGTCCTCTTCTTTTCAGTGGGTCTCAGCGCCCCTCGTTCTAACTTTTTTTAATTTCCTCTCGACCCATTTTATTATCAGAGAGAGGAGAGAGAGAGAGATTGCACCTTGACGCCCTTTCCTGGCCTGACCCTCTCTTCGACAGCTGTTATCCCAGAGATGCGCTTCATATCTACCCGTCCATCGGTGTCTGAATCCACACAGAAAGAAAATAAATTTTGTAAAGACATATGTGATAGCAGTCTCCATTTATGACTTTTGCCTGCTTTTAAAGTGTGTATACCGTAATCTAAGTAATGAGATGCTACAAAACAAATGAGAGTGAAATCAGAAAAACCAACTTGCGAGAACCACTTATTCCCCAACACGCCAAAAGGCCTTTTTGCGGGAAAAGTGAAGGTCTCACAAGCAAAAACAAGGAATGAATGAAAGAATGACCGATACTTAACAACAAAAAGAACGGAAATTTACCAGAAAAATGCAGAAATCTTGAAATGGAATAGTACTATACCTGGTGACTCCTCTGTAAATCGAAGTTCTTTGGCCGAAAGTATCGGCCATCTTCTTGGAGCTATCGGAGTCCGGGACAATGGCTTTCTGATCGGCACACTGGGGGGTGACGCCGAGGGATAAAGTTCCCGTGGTGCCACTTGAGAAGGCCAGCTCATTCCCGGACGACTCAATCGAGTGAGCCGGGAACTCGCCACCGGCGGCCTGAGTTTTGCCGATGGAGGTCGAGTCATCCACTTCGGAGCCCGAGTTGGTTGAGAAAGCTTGGAACCCAGCGATGGCTTTCAGATCCTGCTGGTCGCCGAAGTAAGCCGAGCCCTGGTCGTATATATGGGTCAGGGTCGACGAATCCTGAGTATCCGTTTGGCTGTCAGAGTAACGCATAATAGACGACGAAGAATCACCCAGAAAATCCTCGAGTTTTGGCACTGGCTGGCCCTGATCCTGGGGTTCCATGAAACCTGGGGCAAATGATGATTCCACCATATTGTGTGCAGCTTCATTTTCTTTATTCTCGCTAAGCTCTCCTTGGGTGTAGAGAACCTGGGGCTTGGGGTTTGCCCATCCTGCAAACATTGGAAAGACAAAGCTTTTAGAACCAGTTTCTGAAGAACAAAGATGATATATTATGAACTCAGCTCATTAAGTGTGATTTGCAAGAAAATGGAGTGGCGATGAGTTAGTTTAGTTCGATTTCGATAACTGGATTCATCCATCCCTATTCGGGACCAGAGATGAAGCATTATTCCATCACCCAACTGCACCAACTGCGACCTCTGGTTCAGAGTAGTCAGCCACGATTGAGCTCATCATTAGAACTTTGGAAAACGGGACAAACAAATACAAGGAATGAGATTTTTTCTATTTCCGAGTAGAAATCGCAGTTCTCTGCTCAAAAACAAACAGAAGAATAGAAACCAGAAAGTCACAGAGATTTCTCTTACGTGAGTCAAAGAGATTTGCGTTCATTACTTCTCCCAGCGAGAGAGAAAAAAATACTGAACCCAAGAAAACTAAAACCATCGCGCACTCACAGTCACAGAGAGGCGCGCAACCAATAATCGACGAAGCTAGAACTGAATGCCAGTAATATATAAATATCAGAGTCGTTTGCAAATGGCGTTACCGTTGGTATAGAAGTTATCGACCAAGTAGTGAGGAGCAGCAGAAGCACCATCGTATTGAAGATACTGCGAGTTGGTAGACCTCAGCATTTCCATGGGCGACAACGAAAACGATAGCCAGTTAGTAGCCCGAGCCATTGTCTGCTTTGAACTCTTTCACTGAACCTCTCAGCGACGACGACCTCGCAGTTCTCAACCTGAACAGCACACA